AAATGTATTTAATTTGCGATTCCCATTCGTTAACACTCACAAAAATTCTCTCAAACAGTTGTTGCTAGTCGGAAGGGTTACGACCGATGGTAGACTAAACGCGAGGTTAAAGTACGATTTTACTGACAATTTGTCTATAAAGAGTAATGCTCAGGTAGTAAAACAAAAAAAAGTGTTACAATACAAACCAGAAAGAACATTGTGTTGTTCTCTTTATTTATATAACCATCTTGTTTCTTCTCTCTTTCATCAGCTGACGAATGAAAAAGATCAGTCGCACGGTACGGTCAGTTGTGATTACAAGGTGAGGAGGTTTTCTATATCCATTATGTTGTCTATGTAATGATGCATTGCACCCTTTTGATTTTAAGTTTTGACAATCGCGGGGTTTTTTTTTTGTGTGTGTAGGGGTCAGACTACAGAACGCAGCTTCAACTTGGAACCGGCTCGCTCGTTATAGCTAACTATATCCAAGTAAATTGAACTATTGCCTGATCTTTACCATTTTAAAGTTTGTTCTATTAAATTTTTGTGATTAAGTGCATAGTTAGATACTGAGGTTATATAGTAATAGTTGTTATTTCTTTTCACTGAAATTTTTTCCAATATTTTTCTTGTAGCATGTTACACCTAAACTATCCTTGGGTGGTGAGGTTTTCTGGGCTGGTGAGCAGATGAAGTCTGGTGTTGGTTTAGGAGCTCGATACGAAAATGATAAAATGGTATATATTTGGAATTTGATCCTACATTGTTGGTTTACAATGTTCCTCAATTCTTCATGCTAACTTTCACTATGATCCATTGTTTTATATATCAACAGGTTGCCACTGGACAAATTGCTTCCTCTGGTGTGGCTATGATGAACTATGTTCATAAGGTTTCAGAGAAGGTAATTAAACATTCTTAGTCTCAGAGTTAATTCATCTTTAGATAAACTAAAATCATGATTATTTTTCAGGTCTCATTTGCAGCAGATTTCATGTACAATCATGCCTTTAAAGATGTAACAGCTAGTGTTGGATATGACTACATTCTTAGACAGGTACAAACATGAGAACTATTTCCTCTGTGTCATTTGGAAAGTATATATTGAAACAAAGAACAAAAAGTGTAGTAATTTGGTTTTGGATTTGGTTTAGTGTCGGATAAGAGGAAAGATTGATTCTAATGGTGTTGTTGCTGCTCATCTCGAAGAACGATTGACTCCTGCACTCGGTATTCTTATATCCGCAGAGGTAACGAACATGATCTTATCCGCGATTTCACGTTCCTATACATTACATTTTCGAGTGTTTTTGATTATGACTGGTTTAAACACACTTGTTGATTACATGTAATATTAATCAGGTGGATCATAGGAAGAAGGATTACAAGTTTGGAATTGGTCTTAGTCTCAATCCATAGTTAATACCAAAGAAACCTGTCACAAGAAGCTTATCCCTAATGCAATTTCAGGCTCAAGATTATGTTTAGTTTTTTTTTCTTGGCTTTGTTTATTATGTCTAGAAATGCTCTCTTTTTATTCTGAGGTTTTTTGTTTTGATACTATTATTTA